CGCTGAGCACGTGTGGCGCCTGCTGACGGGCGGCCTCGAATCTTTCTACACGACAAACACATGGAGTGTTCCCACGCAGACTCCGCATTCACAGCACCGTCATGCGGCATTCAATGTCCCGATGGAACTCTGCTGCGAGATGTCAGCCAGTCCCATGGCATTAGTCCGACAGACGTGCCGGCTTGAGCTGACATGTGCTAAAGGCCCGCTTGGCTGATGATCTCATCGGCCCGCACGCGTCGGTTCCGCTATCCGCTGGCATTCACGACGCCAACGCTTAACCCCAGACTCCTCCGCTAACACGGCATGGACAAATTCAAGAGCGTCGCCAAAGGAGGCTGGCATCCCGAGAAGAGTCGCACTAACAGTGGGAGCGGTGGAGGCGGAGCGAGCGACTCGAAACTTACACAGGTAGTATGTAAGCCTACCTTCCTCCTTATCGACTGTGGATTAACGGTGTGCAGAAAGGATGGGTTGGAAAGGCACAGGGTAAAGACCCCCATGCAGAAGCCGCCCGCGATCACCAGTCAGCACCACTGTCATCCCTGAAAGACCCCTCGCAGTTTGCGCCGCCGCCCAAGAGACTCGACTACAGCGGCGGTCCGGCAGCATCTGCACCGTCCGGACCGTCGTCTGCGCCTGCTGGGTCGGCAAAGCAAAGACTGCAGGAGCGAGAAGAGGCTCGGAGAAGGGAAGAGGAAGAAGCAAACAGACCAGCCCCAGGGCCCTACCGACCCGACACGACGGGGTTGAGCACAGCGCATCTGCCCAAGCCGCCTGCGTTCAGACCTGGCGCTGCGACACCGCCGACTGCAGGTGCCGCCAAACCAAAGCCCAGCCTGCCCCCACGGCCTCCACTACCACCGCGCCAGAACTCGAACCCCGATGAATTCGCACCGGCTCCTCCACCTACCTACAATGAGGCGACACAAGAGGCGAGACCTGAACAGGGAGTGCTGAACCAAGGTGCTCTGGGTCGCCTGGGTCAAGCAGGTGTCTCGGTGTCGGGCTTTGGTATCGGGCGGACAGCTTCTCCTCCAGTACCGCCTCGCGCAAACCCATCACCGCCCGTTCCTCCGCGACAGAACTCAGGCTCGAGAGCTGTCTTACCACCTCCCGCCCCGCCCAGTCGCGGCTCACAAATGAACGAGCTGCAGAGTAGGTTCGCAAGTATGTCTGGGCCAAAATCACCAGCAGCTCCCCCAGCCACTGGCACGTCGTGGGCAGACAAGCAGGCAGCACTGCGGACAGCTAGCAGTCTACGCGATGACCCGTCCAAGGTATCAGCTTCCGACTTGAAAGGCGCGGCATCGACTGCGAACAACTTCCAGCAGCGGCATGGAGATCAGGTCGCCTCTGGGTGGAAGTCGGCCAACTCGATAAACCAAAAGTACGGCATTGCTGGCAAGATGAACAACTTCGCATCGTCGAGTGCATCGCAAGGCCCGGCGCAGTCGTCGTCGCAAAGTAGTGCGGGAGGCCTAGGAAAAAAGGCACCGCCTCCGCCACCGCCCAAGAAGAAGGAACTGAGCGACGGCTCGGGTGAACCACCGCCGATTCCTCTGAGTAGCAAGCCGAAGTTTTAAGAATCTCTAATCGTAGTCTACCCATAATCTAGAGATAGCAACTTGAACATTACCAGTGCATCTCCCACTGTCACATTAAACCTGTTCCCCAGATGTGGCTGCGGCACGTCACCCTGCCTTTCCCAGTTACGGCGTCGGTGGCTTTTGCTCCCAGATTTGCGCTTAGCCGGACCCTCAACAGGTTCACAGCATCCTTGCAGAAATTTTGCAGCATGCATCTCTACAATCGCACAACGCAAGATGACGACCGCCTTTTGGTGGACAAGACGGGATGTATATTCGTGTTACCCCATGGCGTTAGACTTGCGAGCAGATGTAAATTCTAGATAAACTTCAAGAGGGTCTTGTCGAGGCGGGTGTCCAGTGGGAGGTGGTGATTATTCGCCTCGGTAGCTGGTCGCGACGCCATTGGCCCGTCACGCTCAGCATAACCAAGAGGGACGTCCAGAAGCCTTTGCCTGCTGCTTCTAGCTCCTTGTCCGACGCACCGTTACTGCATGCGTCCTCGCTCCGGGCATATCTGTGCACTTAATTCTACGATATAACCTGTGCGCCTTGCCCTGGGTTCGTGCGTGTACCCCAAGCAGTACACCCAGGTGGTATCGCGTGCGTAGCGAGAAACGAATAACAACAACACCAACTCTATCGCAGCTTTGCGCCGACGATAGGCACGCCCAGAGCTCCGAGGGCCGATTCCCGCGATAAAGTTTGGCACAACCGTTGGGCATTGACCTCATCGGACCACAGAAAAACCCCAGCGGCCCCCAGACCCTCTGCCTCTGCCGCACCCTGTTTGCGCCTGCCTGGCCAACACCTTCACCTCACCCACCACCCGCCCATTGAGCGCTGCCACCACCTGCCCCTCCACCCGCGCATCGTCCCCCGCCGCCACGCCCACCATGTCCGGCGCAGGCCCTTCCCTACACCCCGGCGACTGGCCGTCGAGGGCTGTCCTCCAGTTCCCTCCCGATGCCGCGCCCTCGCCCATTCCGCCGCCATGGTCGGGCGAGTCGACCTTCCAGAACCCCTTCCCCATCCCCGAAGACATTTACCAGGGCGCACTGTCGTACAAGGTCCCGCTGACCATTGCCTCCGTCTACTTCGTGGCCGTGACGTACGTCAACTGGTACAACCGCCAGCACGGCAACAAGCCGTGGAGGATCGCCAAAACCCGCCCCTTCCACGCCTTTGTCATCTTCCACAATGTCTTCCTGGCCGTCTACTCGGCCGTGACGTGCGTGGCCATGATCCGCTGCCTCAAGCACTCGTTTCCCCACTACAGCGAGCCCAACGCCGTTGTCGGCACCATCGACGCCCTCTGCAAGATCCACGGCCCCCGCGGCCTGGGCGACGCCGTCACCTACAGCAACGTCAACGACAGCTGGAGCAGCCTCAATTCCAAGGTTCAGATTGGCCCCAACGGCCTGCCCGACACCACCGACGTTGGCAGGATCTGGAACGAGGGTCTCGCTTTCTGGGGCTGGTGGTTCTACCTCTCCAAGTTCTACGAGGTCCTTGACACGGCCATTATTCTCGCAAAGGGCAAGCGCAGTACTACCCTCCAGAAGTACCACCATGCCGGCGCTATGTTGTCCATGTGGGCTGGTATGCGCTTCATGTCGCCTCCTATCTGGATGTTTGCCACGGTCAACTCTGGAATCCACGCCATGATGGTAAGCAGCTTTTTTAAAACACACAGAAAACCCTCACTAACATCGTTTAGTACACTTACTACACCGTCTCTGCGCTCGGCTACCGCGTCCCCAACATCGTCAAGCGAACTCTCACCACCCTCCAAATCACCCAGTTCCTCGTCGGATCCGCCTTCGCCGCTATCCACCTCTTCATCTCCTACACTGTCCCCGTTTCGGTCGCATACAAGGTTGCTGAGAAGGTCGCGCCCAAGGTGGTCTCGTCGAGCGTCTCATCCGCAGTTGCATCCGCTACAGAGTCGGTTGCCGAAGCTCTCCCCACCGTGACTGGTGTTGCTGTAGCCTTCCTCAGAAAGCTCATCTACCGCGCAGCTGGCGATGAGGGTCTCGCAGAGAACATCCCCGTCCCTGGCCAGCCCATCCCCGTCCGTCAGCCCCAGCAAGTCATTGCCGGAGAGCCTGCCCCCACCCACAACGCAGTCCACGACTTCTTCCACCCCCACGAGACAGTCGAGAGGACCTTCTACCGCACCGAGTACCAGACCGTTCCCTGCGTCGACACCTCCGGCCAAGCCTTTGCCATCTACGTCAACCTGATCTACCTCGCCCCGCTGACCATCCTCTTCATGCGCTTCTTCTTCAAGTCGTACCTCCGCCGCTCCACCCCCAACTCCAAGCAGAACTTCAAGCACCGCACCATCTCCGACGCCGCCGGCGACGCCAGCCGCAACGTTGAGCGCGAACTCGACTCCCTCGACAAATCCGCCGAAGACGCCATCTCCTCAGGCGTGAACCGCGCTAGAGACGCCGTCCGCGGAAGGAAGCCCGCAAACGGCCACATCAAAGACGAGCGCAAGGGCAGCATGTCCCCCGCCAACCAAAAGTTCCTCGAAAACGTAAACCGCCGCGTTAGCCAGAAACTGCAAGAGCTTGATGAGGGCGCCGATGCGACCAGCAAGAAGGCCAGGCAGATTGCCAAGGAGCTTGTTGGCAAGGCTGAGGCTGCTGGCGAGAAGGTCGAGCAGGCGTACGAGGATAACGAGGAGGATGTCAAGGAGAAGGAGAAGGAGAATGCGAATGGTAACAAGGAGAAGATGGACCGGAACCGCAGTCCGAGCAAGTTGCCGCGTAAGCAGCAAAACAAGAAGAATGGCCCGAGTGACGAGCAGGTCGCTAAGCCGGAGAAGGAGGCTGAGCCTAAGGATTTGAAGAATACACTTGGGGAGAAGGACGGTAAGGGTCTTTTCTAGATGAGCAGAACTGTTCATCTAGGTCGCCAGTGAGCCACAAACCACAACAGGCTCAGTCCTGTGTAAGCAGCATGCCGACTTCGGCTTCACGCTGTCTCTCCTGCCTCTAGGGCTGGAAAGCAAATTTTCCTAGGCGCCCTGTTATAGATCGCGAGATATCCGGTCACATATGTATCTGTATCTTGCTTTTTGAGGGAATCGATGTCATACCGGACATTTATACACAACTAAAAGCTGGGAGGGAAGGTATATCCAAATGTACGAGAGATGATGGAACTGGAAGGGAAAGGATAGGATAGGAATGGAATGGATGGCGTAGGCTATGGAATCTAAATTTCATTTATTTCTTCACAACCTCATGCTCTGATGGTGCTCATGCCCAAGTAAGGCTTATCAATGCGCATTGCCTTGTTGCCGCTCATTCCAGCTTTCAAGCTTGTGGTCTGAGACAAATTGCTGAGCGACTAGAACGTCTCCAGTCTCTTGTCCACTCCTTCCACGATCCACGAATATCATCTAATACCCCCTATCCCTCCTCCACCCATACTCATCCCCATCCCCATAACCCCCCCACCCAACTCCAAAACCTCCTCCCTCCTCCTCCTCTCCTTCTTCTCCCTCCTCACCACCTCCCTCATCCCTCCCGCCCCACTTCCTTCTATCCTCGCCGTCACGCCCTTGTGTCCCTGCCCACCACCACCACTCCCCTTAAACCCGTCTTCGTCGTTGCGAGCGAAGATTTGCAAGCCGCGCAAATGCGTATCCTTTCCATTCTGATGGTTCTCCAATATCTTGATTTGAACCAGATGCGCTCGTAGCACTGGTAACTTTGGCGTTGAGAAAGTATTGGAGGGAGCGGGGCGGGGAGCGGGGTTGGGTGAGAGGGATGCGAAAGGGGCGCGGGGGTGGGGACGAGGGAGTGTTTGTGGTTGTGTTTGAGGGGGGATGGGCGTGGATGGGGGGTGGTTTTGGGTTGGTGTGACGGTGGGGTTTGGGTGGAGGTTTGCGCGGCGGGTGCGGGTGCGGGTGCCTGGTGGAGGGGGTTGTGACTGTTGGGTGGGTTGGGGGGTGTCGTATGATGGATAGGGAGGTATAGGCGTGTCTTGCTGTCCTGGAGTTTGCATATCCAGATCGGCTCCCTGGCCCGGCGCCGCGTTTTCAGAATCAGAAGATGCGTCGTTGCCTCTCCTCCCGCCGTTAAGGTGCAAGGCGTCTGTGAGGAGACGTTGTGGCCGTTCGCCTGCGTTCCCTCCATCACCTTCTTCATCGTCGTCGTCACCACCCTCATCATCACTATCCGGATCTCCTACCCCCGAGAAATCAGCCCAGATCCATCCCCGCGGACTCTCCAATCGCATCTCGCCCCATTCCTGGAGGTCGTTCAGCCCGCTGCCAGCGAGGAAGATGATCTTCGTAGGCGTATAACTCTCGTCTTGTTCAAAGTCGAGATACAGTCTCAATCCCACAACACGGACGAGTTTGAAGAAGTGGATGTTGAGATAATGAGGCTGTGGTCCATCGGATTGCCAGAAGAGGTTCGTATTCAGATGCCGCAGTTGGGGAATTGAACAGCCTGGTTTAGAAGAAGAGACGGTCCAGGATGCCAGGGTGGAGATTTCGCGGAGGTAAGGTGGTGGGGGATCGAGGTTGGGTAGACTATCTGAGGGGAGGTTTGGGGATGCGAGACCATCTTCTGAACCGAGTTCTTCGTCGCCTTCGTCGTCTTCTTCTTGGTCTTCTTCATCGCCTTCGAGGCCGATTAGGTCGTCGCCAAGTGTTTCGTCGTCGTCGGCGGCGGAGGCATCCTGCTCTTCTTCTTCTTCGACATCTTGGCGACCGTCTAGGTCTGCGTCGCTGGACGTGTCTTGGGCTTCTGGTGGTGAGGGCGGGGGCATGCGATGTTGGTGTGCTTGGCCTCCTCGTCGGCGAAGTGAAGGCGGCATGCTGATCTTCGCTTCCTCAAGTGCTGTAAAGGGACGCTAGATTGACCTCACGAGGTACAGCATGCAAGCTCCGGGGATGGTAGCTAGGGCCCGTGGCGACAGCAAGCAGGGGTGAAGCGCGTCTGAAAGGGTCTGGAGTGTGCTGTATGGCTGCCTTGACCGGACACCTCAGGCAGCTTCCGTGCAAACCTTCGTTCGCAAGTCGCGACTACTCCCGCACCTATCGTCTGTCTAGGCTCGCCTCGGTCCACGGGTATCTGGTATTTGGGATCGTGGCGTCCCTGGCTAAGGCGAATGTGGTCGACCGTGCGGAAAAGTGTTGATCACTCACGTGCATGCAAGCCAGGTACCCGACCGGACGCGAACAGTGCGAACCCAACTTCAGTGTCGATATATTGATGTAGGGGCGATACTCTCCGGTATCTAGGCCTGTTTTTGGTGGCCGATGCGGTTTCTTTTTCTGCGGTTCGCCTCGTGCTGCTTTCTCCGCCAGGGTCATGTTTGCTTGTTTGCGATGGAAGCAGGACTGGAACTGGAAATCTGAAGGTCCAAGCGCCAGGGAGATCACCAATCCCGAGGTCCCTCTCCCTTTCAGACCCACCCTGTGCCTGACACTACCCTCAACGCCCCCCCACCGACTCCCCCGCACGCATACTGTATGTTTCGCGTCCGCTTATAATCGTCTGCCTGCATACTTGCCATGCATATACTCCTGTACCAGTGTCGGAGAAGACCCCGTAGAGCCCAACATGGGGCGGCAACGCTAGGCAGCGTCCCCGCAGCGCCGCCGTCTACACTACGAGTAACGATAGCTCAAGGTTCGGATTCGCCTCAGCCGTCAGATTAGAGTTTTGGATACAGCTCCAGAGCTCCTCACAGGATGGAGAAGGCCGCTGGTGGGCAATAGTCTACTGGGAACTTGATAGACTGGCTGGGCCGCTGTGCATGCTACTACAAGCCATAGTCAACCAAACTCGACTCAACATAATGATGCGGGATACTAAACCGGTTCTTCCCTTAGATGCAGGTCCCGCCGTTTCTTGTTGTATATTTCTCATGAACGACCATACGTTGCTCTCTTCGAGCAACACGCTACTCTCGTTTGATACCACTGCGCAACGTTGCTTTGCGTCAGCTTGACATTCGGTCCAGCTCTCGACACCATGGTGCACAGCTCAGCCGACCTGGCGATGGCCGCCGAACAGCAACAACGGATTACCATTGCCTTCCTGGTTGTATCCTGGATATTCATTCTGCTCAGGATATGGACTCGCACATGTATCATCCGCAGCTTTGGCTGGGACGATGCCGTCATGCTGCTTGCCGGTGTAGGTTCTTGTCACCCCTGCCGAGTGGTCAATGACTAATATTAACAGTTGACTTTCACTTTGTTCTGCGGATCAGTTTGGTTGGTTGAAGCATCTGGCGGAACCAGCGAGATTACCAGTGCAGATGAGTTGCAGAAGGTGACAAAGGTGCGTATTCTGACTTTGTCGTCGCGAATCATACTAACCATTACAGTGGGTTATTGTGAGAGAAACCGGATATCTCATGGCCATCATGCTGGTCAAGATTTCTCTGGCTATCTTCTTCTCCCGCATCGTCGTCAGGCGCAGTCACTTCATCATCATCTACGTGACCGTCGCTGCCAACATTGTGTCATCGATGTCTGCATTCTTCTACGTCATCTTCCGATGCGGACCCAACTTGGAGAAGTACGCAGTCAACGAGATCATCGGTCGCTGCCAATCGCGGCAGGTCGACTATTTCTTTGCCTATCAACAAGGTATGTGGCGCGAATGAATTATTTACACACAAGCTTACGAAGTACTCCACAGCGACCTTTAGTACATTGACAGACGTCGTCTTCTTCTTATTACCCATCCCCATTCTATGGTACGCCAACATGGATCTGCGGCACAAATTCTCCGTCGGCTTTATCCTATCCCTCGCAGCTCTGTACGTCTCGACTAAAGCCACTCTCAAACCGCTCTACTAACATATCACAGTGGCTGCATCTGCTCCGGAATCCGCTTCCCTTACATAACCGGTCTAACAGAACTCGAAGACTTCTTCTGGGACGTGACCAACGTGTCCATATGGAGTACCGTCGAATGCGGCACATGCATCATCGTCGGCTGCATGGCAACCCTCCGCCCACTCATGAAAATGGGAATCTCAAGAGCACGCGACATGACCACCAGGGACGGAAGCAGGAGCGGCACAATGAAGAGCACGCGAGCATCTCCACGAACAACGAACCACTCCCTGTCCCAACTCAACTTGCATGCAACGCCGCAGAACAACCTCCTACTCGCGGAGCTGGGCATACAATACACCGGCATCGAAAAGAAGGCTTCTTCATCACCAAAACTGGAATCGATGTACGAAGCAAAGACTATAACGCGCCCAAACACCGCGGCAACACCCCTCCCGTCAGACATGGGCTACACGAAACGCAGCAGCGCTGACCCTATCCTCGCTCGCACCTCGTCCGACGCAACAGACCTCCCTTTATGGAAGGCGCCGGAGGAGAAGAAACCACGCCAACCGTCGCGTCTCAGCCTCAGCCGCGCATTACTACATCGCAGCCGGCCCACGAGCGAAGATGTGAACTATGCTGGACCCTTGTCCGATCCCATTTCGCCGCCGCCGAGATATATGGACGCAGGGGATGCGGTTTGAGCATCTCGAAACCGAACGCGAGCTGAACATTGTACATATACACAGACACGACCGTAACGACGCTACGCCTTTCCTTTTTCATTCGTGGAGATCAAAACCAGTCGTTAGATGGACGACAAAGAAAATCAGTTTTATACCCCAATGTATTTTTAGCCAACCCAGAAGACGTCGGATCTAATAACTACGACTGTCAAGACAGTATTCTCAGCCATGTCCGGCAATGCCACTAGTTTTGTCAACGCTGACCTTTGTCGTGACTTGGCTGTGATGCATTTTTCCGTCAAGAAAGTATCCTCAATGTCCCTAGACTGCAAACTATGTAATGGATTGTACCATGGGCGGCCCGCCACCCGGGTTGTCAACGCTAACGCTCGCTGTGGGTTGGAAGTAGTGAATCCTGTACTACGGGTAAACACGGCGGAAGAAGGTTTTCCGTCGTACCAGTACCAGTTACAAGGAAAAGGGGATGAGACTATTGACATGGCATGGCATGCCTTGCAGCATGGTACGATGGCGTCGTGAAGTACGGGGTAATGGGGGGTCATTACCTACCGCCTCAAACTGAAGGCTCCGCATTCTATGGCAGTTCCAATCCGAACGCACATCAGAAAGGAGACATACAACACTAATCCACCACCACCACCCCACCCAAACACGTAGATGACTATATCCCTTTCAAGCACCGATAGACAATTTACCTCGTTTTTGTACAAAACATATGACCATGACTTTCGTTGCTTTTCACCATGATCACCAATGATCCCGCATCCTCATCACCTATCTCCCACCCATAAACTCAGGCTTAAACGCCTTAACACCCCCCGCCTTCATCAGCTCCCTCAACGCCATAGTAGCATACTGGCTACTCGCCAACTGTAACTTGATCACCACAGCAATCTTTTCCTCTCCCGCCTCTTCCTTCTCCTCTCCGTCCTCCATCTGCGCGTCTGCAATCTCTCCCTCCTTCCCATCCTCTTTACCCCCATCTTTCTTTCCAACATCTCTCTCGCGGCCCAGTCTTTGCAAGTCTGTTTGAACAAACTGCTCATCCACCTTCCTATAACTATGAACATTGAACTCAAGCGGTTGAAGTGGCCGGGCTAGGAACTTCCTATACCCCCCACTCAAACTAACCTCCCTCCAACTCCTCCGCATATTATACGGATCCAACCCCCCACCCTTCTCACTCCCCATAAAAGTCTTGTAGTACTCCCCAATCTCATTTCTAGGGTACTCGACATCGAAGCCCGGTTGCGGTAAGACAACGTCCCAGATACTATACTCGCCACTAGCCGCTTCATGCGCAGTAAGCGGACGCGCGCGTTCGAAATCCGCGTCGGGAGCAAGGGACGAGTCGGCGCCGGAGGGATCGATGATGGGTTCGCCGTCTTGGTCGTGTGTTGCTTTTGGCATTTTCTCCGTACTACCCGTTTCTTTATCGCGGTGTTCGTTTACGAGGACGAGGTCGCCGGGAACGACTTTGTCGCCGTGGGTGGCCCAGCGTTTGCCGGCTACGCTGTTCCAGACGAGGGATTGGTAGGCGTGGACGTACATTAAACGCAGTGTACGCGGGATTGTCATGAGTGCGCCTTGCCAGTCTGTTTTGCGGTCGTAGCGGCCTGATTTACTGTTGCGCGAACTTAGATGCTGGATTATGTTTCGTTCGGCTGTGAATTTCCGAGGGAGGAAGTCGAGGGCTTCGGTGCCGGAGCCCTTGGTTTTCCAGATGTGCAGGGCGTGCGCGCGGTTGCGGTCGTCTTGCGAGACTAGGGTTGTGGACTCTGAAGGGTTTAGGGCAGAGGCGAGGGCGGTGTCGCTGTATGCGAGGAGGTCCTCAACGGCGCCTTTGAGGTCGTCTTGTAGCATCTTGCGGCCGATGGCGTCGGTGCTGGCGGCGAAGGAGCCGAAGCGTTGGAGACCGTAGTAGTTGATGAAGCCTTTTTGGGAGAAGTCGGTGATGGCTTTGCTGACTACATCGTGGGCCAATTTACTTCGCTGAGCAAAGTCTAGTCCTTCCTCGCTTTGGAAATGGCAGTCTCGGAGGGTGATGGTGAACTCGTTGCCCATCAGGTCTCCTAGCTTTAGGTCGTTATGGCGGTACTCAAAGTCTCCTACGGCGGCATTGAACAGGATTTTGTTGAAGTTCTGGATGCGCTGGGCTAATTGGCGCTTGACGCAGACTCTTTGGACGGTGCATGCTCGTCTATCTTTTGTGCCTGCGAAGCCGAAGCCCTTGGCGCCGCAGTTGAGCTTGCTCCCTAGGAACC